CCTAACCGAATCATCGGTTTATGAATTTTTATAACCCGAAACCGACCAATGCTAAAGAAAACCCAGCCGACTCGAGTTGAGTCGGTTTGGGTTGGTTAGTTTGGTCAGGTTGGGTCTTCTTATGAACAGCCCTATTGGAAACTGAGGTTTCCCCCCCAGAGACGTTCATTTCAGTGCTCTGTCCGGCGTGACTGGATTGATTTCTGATGAGCTGTTGATTGTGGAGAAGGCTTTTTGTAGCGGTTCCCACAGACGGCGCCAATTGATGTTGCACGATCTGAATACTCCCTGCTGGAGGATGATCTGGTTTCCAATCGAATGGCGAGCTATCTAAATCTGCAAAATAAGATCAGAGAACCTGGGGTGGCTAGCCCGGCGAGGTCGCTCCGATGCGTAAGTTAGTAAGCTGTAGCGAGCTAAGATAGATACGAATGTAGAGAGCTAGAAAGCTAGAGAGCAGAGAAATCACTCGTACCTCATGCCATTGGGGTTGGAACCTTTATATAGTTGAGTATTCATGGGGCACACGAAAGAGTTTCGGGATATTTGGGATGTGGAGATAGTGTTTGCTCTGCTTCCGAAGGAATAACATACAGGTAAGGCTTATCTCATTCCTCCTCCGATTCCAGCGGAGTGAGGATAAGTGCTTATTGTGATCCCCGGAAAGGTCGGGGCCTGTTAACTTATCGTGATCTCGAGGGATTCGGGAGTCATTGGAGAGACCTCTAGAGTTGGTTACGTGTCGATTCGAGTAGTTGGTTCCGAACTGGTACTTCAGCCTTTTAGTTCCGAACTGGCTTGAATATCGAGGTGAGACCTGCATCGAGGTGGCTTTGCTCCGTGGTGATCCTTAAGCCGTGGCCTTTGTGTCGAGGTGACTGAATACGCGAGCTCCATTGTTGCGAACTGAGCTTGTCAGGCTGAGTTGTCATCTCTTGGTCAGGTCGTGTCCACGTGTTCCCTTTTTACTAGGTCGGGCCAAATCACCCTTCATCAATAATAATAATAATAATAATAATAATAATAATAATAATAATAATAATAACAATAATAATAATAATAATAATTTAATATTACTGATTTCAAAATCAATACACACATAATTAGAATATATTATTAGTAAATAATAGTAATAATAATATACTTATTTTTATTACTGATTTCATAATTATTAATATATTATTAATCTATATTACTCAATAAAGACATGGAATAAAAAATATTCAAATTACCACTAAATGAATGAACTAAAAATCTATGAGTATTCTAATTGACTTGAATTTGACACATCAACATGCCCAAAATTATAATTCCAACCTACATTTTCTATTTCTATTTCCTAATTCCCATAATTCAAAAATATCATTAGGTTATGTACAGGTTTCCCTATCTTTTCCTAAAGATAAATTCTAGCCAGTCTAGGTGCATTGTGGAGAGCTTAGACTTAAAATCTATAACCATGATCGACCAAAAGAAGCGTTTCCACCTAAATTGGAGGTGACTTACATACTTAGGATGATCCCATTATTCTCCTTTCTTTCATGTTTCTTCTGTTGGATGTGCTTCAGAATCCTAATTATATTATCAATTGATTGTAGTCATACACGATGATGATTTGATTGTAATCATATATTTTTCATCTCTTACTTTAGAGGATGGATGAATCTACAAATGTTGTTTGGCATTGATTGTTTTTCTTAGCAACTCTTTGAATGATTTTCTTCCTTCTTTGCCTCTTTGAATGGATATCACAAATGCTTTTTATCCATTCATATGTCTCTAAATATTAAGTAGTATTGGTGATATTGTTGTAAACATCCATCTAAGTTTACTATTTTATAAATAGAATAATGATTTCAAAGTTATTGATACTTTTTTGGGGTGGGCTCAACAGGACATTGATTTTTTATTGTTAAATAGTAAATTTCAAATTAAATGATACTGTAGTTGTCGCTTAGTATGGGGTCATTGTCTAGATAAAAACATGGTAAGTCTCTTAAATCAAATAAAGAGCCTACCCTAAATGTCTATTATAAATAATTAAAAAAATGAAATAATTCAGATTAAATCAAATAATTACTTACTCAAAATTACTGAATTAAGTTAATAATAATAACAATCAATTATTTATAGAAATAATTAATAATAATAACAATCATCAAGTACTTATTTAAGTAAATAATAAAAAATGAAATAACAATCGTCAGTTATCATTAATGTTTATTCAAAGCATGCCCCGTAATAATTACCAAATACAATAATTAAACCTTAAATAAGAATCAATATTTATTAATAGTCATTAAAAATGTTAAGCCAAATCATTAATGTTTATTCTTAAATGGAAAATTTGAATTAACAAATCTATTATATAATAATTATACTCAGTTGGAAAAAATATTTTAAGTAAATATTTAAATAATTACAAATTTAGTTAATGTTATTACTAAATAACAAAAATTTTAAACTAAATACTAAAATAAATTAATAATAATAATAATGGTTAAATTAAAGTAATAAACATTTCAAGTTGAATTTAATGACCCGTATAATTATACAGATTTGACATATAAGGGTCAATTTATGTGGACGTATAGACTATGTAAGTGTTAAAAAATGACAGTTTATAAACAATAATAAAAAATAATAATAAAAATCATTAATATTTATTCATATATATATATATATAAAATTAACTTCCCCATACTTGATACGGGGTCATTCACTAGTTACATATGAGGATGAGGAGCAAAAAATCCGCTGCGACTATAGTCCCAGGTGACACCGGACGAGAAGAAAAAAATCTGCTGTGACCATCAAGCATTTGAAATGAAAAAAATAAAAAAAAAATCATTTAATGTCATGAATTTATTTCGAAGATTCGGCTATTGATGCAGGAGAAAAATTTATAACCAATCAAATCAATGATCAAATGATAGATAACATAAAAGTGAACCAATCAATGATCAAACGATAAATGATAGATTTCATAAATAAAAGTGATAACCAATCAATGATCAAACGATAAATGATAGATTTCATAAATAAAAGTGATAACCAATCAACGGATATCATAAAAAATTGAATTCACTGAAGTTTTGATTGGCCAAAGCTAAGCTCTTTCCGACAAAGCTTTTTGTGTTTCATTCGGATTAGATGCGACCAATGTCGCAGCAGATTTTTGCTCGAGGATGAGCAGTTATTTACAAAACTTTGGCTGTTCACGTTCGACAGCCTGCTGGCTTGCCAATAGACCTGTTCATGGGCCGGGTAGCCCGACGGCCCGGCCCGGCCCAGCCTACACCCCGGCCGGGCTTGGTCATATAATTAGGCCCGCGGGTCTGACCTCGGGCTTAACACAGTAAGCTTGACTGTGTTTCGGGCCGGGCTCGGGATTTGTCAAAAAAGCCCGGCCCGAGCCTGGCCCGGCCTGATTCAGTATTATATATTTTATAAAATATATAATATGTATTTTATATATTATATAAAATATATAAATAATATAATATTTATTAAAATATTATATTATAATTTAATATATATATATATATTTTATTCTTTTCTTTATAATTTCAATCTATCTCTCTTTATTCAGCTGCTTCAACATTAATAATAATAATAATAATATAGGCTTAATTTCGGGCCCGGGCCCAGGCTCGGGCTTCGGACTTTTTATGAGGGCCGGGCTCAGGCCCAAATTATAGGCCTGATGGTCGGGCCGGGCTCGGGCTCGGGCCTTAAAAAAATTTGTTAATACACAGTAAAAGCCCGGCCCGAGCCCGGCCCGGCCCGGCCCATGAACAGGTCTACTTGCCAACATGACTGTATCTGTGCAATCGGCGTGAACAAACGTTTCCTGTTGACAGCGGGTTTACTTTGGCTGTTGGGTTCTAACAATATAAGCTGCTGGGTACGTTTTGGGCAGTTCATCTATTCACGCCCATGCTTTGGTTTTTGATAATTACTAATTTAACCATTCACAGGATAACGTGGCATTTCCATAAATTCTCTCAACAGTATAGGCCTGTTTGCCCCAACAGCTAAAGTTTATCCGGTGACAGCCAAAATTTCCCAACTGAGATATCTTGCATGGGCCATGCATGCAGTAGAACAGACAGCAGTTAAACACTTAAAAAGTGAACCGGAAGAGCGCAACGGGCATTCCTGTAATTTTGAAGTTCAATAATCCGACGAGAGGATCTGTTGCTGTTGGGGCGCGCGATGAATTGGGTTGACGAGTTCCATCCACGGCTCCGAACTTAATGGCGGGAGAGTCTGCGAGCGGGAGAGAGAGCGAAACAATCGGCGAATCTTGAGTATACACGTTAGGGTCCTCTCTCTCTCTCTCTCTCTGTTTCTCTCTCTCTCTCTCTCCCTCTCCCTCTCTCTCCCTCCGTTTGGCAGAGCAATACCGGTATGGAATTTGGAACGCATTCAGGTGATGCCACAACCCCGCCGACGACATCTGACCCACCGTTCAATTCTTTGATTGAATGAATCAAGTATGAACCGATGTCCTCGTTTGCCGAGAGTGTGGAATTGGACCCCTACAATGAAACGACCAAAACCAACACCACCCTTGATAATTCTGTCAAGAGTGGCAAGAAGAAGAAGGTATTCTTACTTCTTACATTTTTTATCCAACATTAACTGAAAAGATGAATGACAAGAGGAAGAAGGAGGAGGTACCGATACCCGTTCCTTCTTTCTCTGTTATTTTATTCTGATTGAATTTTTTTTAATCATTATTATTTTGTGTTGCCTTTCCTTTCTGGGTCAAAGTCAAGCATTCTAAAGATTTTTGGTTCAAAGCGCCGAAACGGGAGAGATCCAAACGACGATATATTTAGACGAGGGGAAGTTGTTCTGGGTATTTCTTTCCTCTCCTTTTATCTGCTATTTTTGTTTCATCTAAAAAGGTTTTTTAAGGACAAAGGTGTAGATCTTCGAATTGTGTGAAGATGATTTTGCTAAAATCTTTGATTTAATGATCAGACCTGCAAAGGAGGATTACATCAAGGAAGGCTGCCTTCTTGGAAGCGTCTCCTATAATGAAAAAAAGCTTCTCAGGTGAGGGTTCATTAAAATTGACTATTTACAGGTAGTTAAGATTGAAAACCATGACTTCGATGGATATTGCATCTTTCGTACCCTTCCAGACAAAAGACAAAAATTGGGAAGCTGAAAATCCCACACGTTCGGATGGTTTTATCATATTTTCTTTAGTTTTATTCTATAGTTTTGAAAGCGAAATCCATTAGACTTTGAAGCTTGTAAATCAAGGATTTAATTTATTTCTTTTACATTCAGAAAGACAAGCAGATTCGAGAACCGAGGGGCTGGGATTCTCTAACTTTGAATTCTCAATGGCTAAAACCGAAGTTCAAGATTTCCGGTGCGAATTCTCGAGTTCCGGTGATCATTTTATAACAGGTGGTTTTCCTTGGATTTGATACATCTTTCCTGTCTCACATTTAGTGTTTATTAATTGCAGGATATTCGTTGGAACATGGAATGTGGGAGGTAGGCCTCCCAATAATTGCCTCAACCTTGAACATTTCTTGCAGGTGGAGGGCGCTTCAGACATATATGTTTTGGGGTATGCTTAAACTCCAATTTCATAGGCCGCGCGTAGTCATGTATTTTTATGTTTATGGTTCACATTTGAGGAATAATCTTTAGAGTCTTTTACTAGTTTTCTTCATTAATCCAAAAGCTCCAAATATGGATCAGACTAATGCAGTTGTCCCCCTGTATTTTCTTCAGGTTTCAGGAAATCGTCCCTTTAAATGCTGGAAATGTTTTAGTGATTGAAGACAATGAACCCGCGGCAAAATGGCTTGCCCTCATAAATCAAGCACTTAATGACCCACGTAATGACTGTTCTGAATCGAGCCAAAGCTCAAAACTACAAAACAACAGCAACCATCCCAAGGACCTGAAATTCAATAATGGAGGTCTCAACTTCTTTCAGAAACCTTCTCTCAAAATTCTAAGTCGAAATTTCAGGGCGGACAGCAGACGTCTTAAGGCATGCAACTGCCCTTTGGACTCACCTCCAGTCTTGCAAAGGCGTGTAACAGACGTCAGTGAAACCCTAATAAGGAGAACAGTAGGGGACACTATGCGCAACCCCCATGACAGCTGTTCAGGTGATAGTGATATCTTTTCAATTGCAGAAGTACCACCATCACATAGCCACTTAAATTACCGACTTATATCGAGCAAGCAGATGGTGGGTATCTTCCTCTCGATCTGGGTGAGGAATGAACTGGTTCAACATATCGGCCATCTCAGAGTTTCCTGTGTAAGCAGAGGAATCATGGGCTGCCTTGGCAACAAGGTCAGTTAATAATATACTGTGCTTAATTGCAAGCAGGTGTTTGGCTGATAACTTTTTCTTCAGTTTCTCTCCTTTCCTTGTTGAGGGAAACTCAACTATACTATTGGATCAAAGATGCAGGTGTTTAGTTCCAAGGCAATACCTACTTTTTTAACATGAAACTGGAACATGATTTCTTATGTTTTACTCAACTGCGCATGGATCTGGGTATAAATTGCAGGGATGCATATCAATAAGTATGTCACTGCACCAAACAAGCTTTTGCTTCGTATGCTGTCATTTGGCTTCGGGGGAAAAGGAAGGAGACGAGCTCCGGAGGAACATTGACGTGGCCGAGATCCTCAAAAATACCCAATTTAATAAGATTTGCAAGAACCCAAATAGCCGAGTCCCTGAAAAAATCGTCGACCATGAGTATGTTCATGTCAGAACTTATAACTGGAAGAAAAATGATTTCAATGTTTCTTCTTCTGTTACTACTATGAGCTTTCTAACCTGCGAATATGGATTTATGATCCAAACGTCACAGTCGAGTCATTTGGCTTGGAGATTTGAACTACCGGGTTTCCCTGAGCTACGAAGAAACAAGAACCCTGTTGGAGGACAATGACTGGGATGCTCTTCTAGAGAAGGACCAGGTTTGCATTCCTTGTTCTATCATCAGTATTTCTGTTTTGCTCAACTCCTTCCCTGAGTTGTCTTTATGTTTTCGCTATCTATCTTCTGTGCACAGTTAAACGTGGAGAGAGAAGCAGGGAGAGTATTTACGGGGTGGAACGAGGGAAGAATCCTATTTGCCCCAACTTACAAATATTCTTACAACTCTGACTCCTATGCCGGAGAGACGGTCAAATCGAAGAAGAAACGTAGAACTCCTGCATGGTATTGTCTGCCCCTCGCTCCTCTTCCTCTGAGTTACTAAACCACACATAATTAACCACTAAAGGTATGACAATGAATGAACTGAATTTCAGGTGCGATCGAATATTATGGTATGGTAATGGAATAGAACAATTGTCATACATTCGCGGAGAATCAAGATTCTCAGATCACAGACCAGTGTGTTCAGTCTTCCTTGTAGAAGTGGAGATGGGAAACAGTACCGCCACCAAGTTGATGAGGAAGGGGTTCTCAACCTGTACAACAGTGGATCATTTTAACGGCTTCATACCTCAAAGACACAGCTTCTGTGAGTCGTGAAAAGAATAGAGCTGTACTGTTGTATATTTCTCTGTAAAGTAGATAACAGAACCCCATCTTTTGTTTTTTTGTTTTTTTTTTTCTTTTAACGTGCTTTAATTTGTATCAATCTCTACACTGTAAGTCTGTAACTGAGAACAATCACTTACCCTTCATCAATTTAAAATATCATATTGTAGTACCGTACGTGAAACCCGGTCCCTTTTTTGGACCCTCATCAGTGGGATCAAGCCAATGATCCAAGAACCTGCAGCTCTTCCAATTGATCAGACTAACCTCACTGACCAGACCAGAGACGAATTTGCATCTAATAATAAAGTCAATTTTTCACTTTACTCTTCATCAATTTGTATCAATCTCATGATCGAGAGCTTGATTGGGAGGACTTTCACATTGTTGCCTTAGTCAGTTTTTCTGGGTGGGGCCCGCCCATCCAAAAGAAGCCTATAAATAATCAACGCCAACGGTTGATATATATGAAAAAACCCTATTGTAATGTTCAGCCACACTACTTAACATGGCTCTGGTTCTCGGTTATATTATAAGCTGCTTTTATGGCTTCTTCAAAAGCCCTCCCAGGCCCAGGGCATGTATCGGGTAGGATATAATAAATTTATTTGAAACGAGGAATTTTAATATGCAAGGGAACAGCCTAACTTATTACAACTTGATTACAAGTTGTCCTCGTTAGTTGTTGATGGAGGGAGATTTGGCCCGACCTCGTAGCTCAGGTACACGTAGGCGTGATCTAACTCAAACAGTGACTCACCATGATAGCACAACGGACGTAAGCACAACTCGGTGGGGAGGTCCCACCAAGTTCAGCACGGCAACTTGGCAGGTAAACTATTCGTCGAAAGTCGCTTCGCCTGCACCTCCTCCCCGGGGTTAAGGCACTTCGGGGGTCCCGAGTTCGGGGCACCCTGACCCCTTTTGAGACCCGAGCTCCTCCCAACGGACCTCGGGCCACTCCCAAGCAAGAACGCACTGATTCTTCTTCGGACGCCCCGAGGCACAAAGACCTCGGGTCGGCTAGCTCGGCACAACTGGCTGCAGGCAGCCCGTCACTCAAAGGACAGCCCAGCTCAGGGAAATTCGCAAGAGAACAGCTCGTTATAACATAGGAGGGCTTCCTGCCCAACCGCCGTACCCAACAAACCTGCGAATTGCAGGCATGTCGCCTCGCCACGCCTGCCACCTTCAGAAAGGCGTCCCACACCTGACAGACACGTACCCTACACGACGGCCCCGCGCGTGCCACCTCAGCCCTGCCTGTAACGGTTGTGGCAGACTGACAGTGGCGGTTATACCTGCCCTATCAGAAGTCAGAGGGCCTAGAGCAACGGAATTCAGTTATAAGGAGCTTATCCTCAAGGAACAAGGTATCTTCGAATCACCTGCGCAACCTGCACTCTTAGTGTTCACTCTCTTCTAGCTTCTTGCACACAGTACTAACTTAAGCATTGGAGCGTTCCCGCCGGGAAACCCCCTAGGAGTTCTTCCTCCTTCTCGTTTCAGGTACATCTCAGGAGCCACGCGAGCGCCGGCTAGGAGTGATCGGATTGTGCTACATCATTTGGCGCCGTCTGTGGGATATGCTTCAAAAAGCTTTTCCCTCCAAACTCTATCAGTTCCTTCTTCTTCCTTGAAACAACCCAACGCACATGGTTTCTTCTAGCAACGTCGGACGAAGCACGGAAATGGATAACTCCAGGGAACAACCCCAGCTTCCTACTGTCTGTATTGGACAGTTCATCGTCCCCCTCTCAGCGGACGGAATCCCCAACTTGAATGTCCCTCTCACAATGGCACCTGTCATCGCCCCACTCCCTACTATAGTCGGAACGACGTTCACCGAACCTTCGGTCGTGCCATCAGCGGCCAGCCCGAACCAGCTGGAGGACCTGGTGCAGTGCATGAGGGCCATGCAGGCTCAAATGCAACAGTTCCAACAACTTCAACTCTATCAACAGCACGTACTGCACCAGGACTCCCAGTATCAGTATCAGCAGCAGTTCCCCCAGCTGCCCCAACCTCAGCTCCAGCAGCCTCAGCTCTCGCCTCAGCGCCTAGCCTCGCAGCAAGCCAAATCTCGCCGCCAGAGCGAGCACTCCGGCCGAGGAGAGGCCCCCCAAAATCTCCCAAAAAATCAGGCCTCCCCCCACGGCAGACGGGAGAGACCAGCTATCCCGATCTCGCCATGGGCGGACAGGTCGGGAGGTCCCCGTCTCGGCAGGTCTACGTCACTGCGACAGTCGAAGTTCGGAACCCCGATCCTTGAAAACCGGTTCGAGATCCTGGCAACAGACTCCAAGCAGGACCCCTCTGTCTGTAGCCATCACCAGCAGACCGGGCCACTCACTGCGCAAACCATTCTGGACAGCGCAGAGGTGAGTAGCACGAACGCCGAGCCCATCAAGAAGCAGAGACGCCACCACCGAGCTCGTCGTTCTGTCACCCGCGATTTGCCCGAGCTCATGGGCAAAGAAGAGGTAGGCTCGGCCGAAGCCAAAGCTCCCTTCCTCTCGGTTCCGTCCCCCCTGTCTTCCGAACTTCTAGCAGTCCCGATGCCCAAGGATTTCAAGCTCCCCCCTCTTGATAAGTATGACGGGTCGTTCGACCCGAATGATCATRTAGATGCCTTTCAGTCACAGATGCACCTGGCACGAGCCAGTGAGTCGTGCATGTGCGTGGCCTTCTCCACTACTTTTAGGGGAGCCGCCCGCACGTGGTACCGGAACTTGGCACCCGGGTCAATAAGAAGTTGGGCGCAGTTTGCGCAAGCCTTCACGTCCCACTTTGTCACCAGCAAATGGTGCCCGCAAACAGAAGAAAGCATCTTCAACGTGGCACAAAGAGAGGGAGAGTCCATCCGGAGCTATATCAAGCAGTTAAACGACGCTTGTATGCAGATACCGCGTCTGGACCCCGCCGTATGCCTTGTTGCAGCCAAGAAGGGCGTGGTGCACAAAGAGTTCAAGTGGCACATGGTCGTCAACCAACTTTCGACCATAACCGAGTTTCTAAAGCTTATAGATAAGTTCATAGCCACTGAAGAGGAGATCAACCAGAAGGGAGAGGCCGCACCCGAAAAAAGAAAGAGAGAAGGAGAGCCTTCTAGCCAAGGGGACACCCGAAGGAAAAATGAATCAGTTCGGGGGGCAAAGCCAGGTCAACTGTTCTGAGCTCCCGCACCAGACCGAGTTGATTACACTCCACTGAATGCAAAGCGGGCCGAAATCCTGATGGCGATCAAGGACGCCCCGTACGTGAAGTGGCCACCCCGTCTGAGGGGGAATCCAAATGAGAGAAATAAGAGTCTGTATTGCTGTTTTCACAAAGACCACGGTCACAGTACCGAGAGTTGTAAAAACCTCCGCGACGAGATAGAGGAGCTCATCCGTCGCTGATATTTGAGAAACTTTGTACAAAATAATAATAATAACAATAGTAATAGAACAGGTCGGCAAGGGGAGCACAGCAAAGATGCTCCCGAGTCCAGCAGCAGGCCGGCCGAACAACCGCAGAGGCAGCTTCCATAGGAGAGGCTAGTTCGGGGGACCATCCACATGATAGTGGAAGGTTCGATCGTTGCGGATTGCACCTCAGCAACAGCTCGGACGTCAATTCGTGAGGCCACCCTGGAAGAGCAGAACCCCCCAAAGCGGCCGAAGACGGAAGATCCAATTTTCTTCACAGAAGACGATGCGCGAGGGGTCCACTATCCCCATGATGACACACTCGTAATAAAGCTAAGAATCAACGACTTTGAGGTCAGGCGCGTACTCGTGGACTCAGGCAGCTCAGCCGACATCCTCTTCAAAGCTGCGTTTGACTAGCTTCAGTTGCAGAGAAGCGATCTGAGGGCTACGGACCCCCCTTTAGTGGGCTTCAGCGGAGAGGAAGTCCGCCCCCTTGGGAAAATAATAGTACCTGTAGAGATCGGCACATGGCCTTGTGTGGTCATATTCGAACACAACTTCCTAATGGTAGCGACCCCCTCTCCCTACAATGCCATAATAGGTTGACCGATCACCCATGTCCTACGGGCGGTGGTCTCCACTTACCACTTGGCTATGAAGTTCCCAACAGACTTCGGTGTGGGAGTAGTGCGGGGCGACCAGCTCGAGTCCCACAAGTGCTACGTTGCCACCCTAAAAGGGAAAACCAAGGTGGACGATGACCTCGAACTGGAATGACCCACGGAGCAAGGCGAAGAGTGAGCCGCGCCCACAGAAGAAACAGTCGCGGTCCTGACCTCAACAGCAGACCTAGCTCAGACGCTTCAGATCGGCGCTTCCGTCCAGGAGCCCCTACGATCCGAACTGGTAAGTTTTTTATTTCAAAATTTAGATATTTTTGCATGGTCCGCGGCAGAAATGCCCGGTATAGACCCTGAACTCATAACTCACAAGCTAAACACTCATCCTGTAGTTAGGCCCGTTAGACAGAAGAAACGCAACCTAGCCCCGAAACGGTGGAAAGCGGTCGACGAGGAAGTCGAGAAGCTCCTCGCAGCGAACTTCATAAGAGAAGTCCAATACCCGAGCTGGGTAGCCAACCCCGTCCTGGTAAAGAAGGCCAACGGCAAGTGGCGCATGTGCGTCGACTACACCGACATGAACCGGGCTTGCCTGAAAGACTGCTTCCCGCTCCCCAGAATTG